ATAGATAGATAGATAGATAGATAGATAGATAGATAGATAGATAGATATAGTTAAGCCACTGAACTGCTGGAAATTTGATGTATTGCATAATAGTTCATCATTTATCACTATAACAGAGCAGTTAATTGGGTACTTTAAACAAAGTTTATTTTTCTGCAGAATTTTTTTAATGTACACTTCTGGAGGCCCAAGAGCACATTGCTAGCTTTTGCTTCTAGTGTGGATGGCATTGCATGGTACAATGAGAGTGGAACCAAGAGAGCCAGCTGAGAAGGTTAATTCAGTTTGTGACAACCTGATCTCATGGTAACTACAGTTCCACAAGTAGGAATTTATTCCCAAAAGAAAACTTTACTCATTCTTAAAGACTTATCTCTGGAACAATTACATTGGGACCAAGATTTCATCATCAAGTTTAATTGAACGAATCACACATTCAAATCACAGCACAGCAGCTTATTTCCCTGGCTGATTTCCGAAGACCTAGAAGTCTTACCCTGTGGACAGTCCAAACCAAGACAAAGACAGTGGGGCTGCCTGCCCTCAGCATGCTCAATACTATTTCCCACCTCAAAAATGATCAGGCTATGACCCATCTTCTCCTAAGTTAAGAATGAGGAAATATTTTACCAGAAGCAAATGTTAATCCCTACCGAAGAAGAAAGAACTACGCCACCAGACCATGTTTGTATTTGTGTGCCTCTTTTCTGGATCTCTGAATAACTTTTCCTTTGCTCCATGACATTCCAGATTCTATTTGCTATTTCCCAAGACATACCCCTGAGCTTCCTGAGCAGCTGCAAAGCAAAATGAATTACCTTCCTTACTCTCCACTGTCCAGCTCTGGAAGACCGGCCATACAGTCCCCTCTAGGTAGAGATGACAGAGAACCAGTCCTTGTTGATGACTCTTCTCACCTGTTCCACACTCAAATCATCTTTTTATTCTTCAAATATATTAAGGTCTTTTTTTTTAAGGGACATCTTTCCCCAATTCTAACTCCCAAAGTCCACATTCACTGAGAATTTACCTTCTTTTCCTTGCCTTTAATTGAAAATAATTGTGAGTCAGAAGCATATCAATGGGCTTGCTAAAGCCAAGCACAAAGTATGTATTGAGCAACACTGTGCTACCACAGCCCTTGACCCAATGTCATATGACAGAGCACCTCCTGGACAAAGCAGATTAGACAGCAGTGGACACCTGACCCATGAGTGTCCACACACAGGCTAAAGAGCAAACTGTGACTAAAAGGCTTACTCAATTAATAGGAACAGAGAATTCAAATGGGAGTGAGCACAAAGAGTCCTTTCAATCCTTCAGACATCAAGACCCATGAATAAGCAGCAGAAGTCAGCTGATGGAGACAGGACAATAGGACAATGTACAAAGCATTACAAATGTGAGAGGAAGAGAAAGGAAGAGAGAGGAAGAGGGGGGTTAGTTTGGAGGAACCCAACTACAAAAGTATTGTAGATTTTTTTTTTTTTGGACAGTGTTACAATCTACTATTACAATAATGGCCTTTTATTGGACCCATCTCAAAAGGGTGGCTGCCTGGCTGCACTAATGCATGTTCTTTTCTAAACTCCATCAGACAGTGTTAGAGATCCCCTAGAAAAACAGGGTTGAGCATGACTTTTTCTCTTTCTACCTAAACTATCAGATGTCTAAAACTACAAACACTGGGAGAAGGTAAAAATAAACGATAGTGATTTAGAATATTTGCACTTGGGGAAAAAGGCAAAGGAACCAGGGAAATGCTTGAGATATTCTTCAGAGTACAAGGAGGCTTGCATTACAACTGAAGAGAAGACCTGCAGCCAAACCCACGCCACACCGAAGAGTCAAAAACATAGGTTTCTACAAAAACACCATGTTGGTGGAAAGTGAGTTTACTTTCTCTTTTGCCAGTCAAGGGAGAAGAAAAGCTAGTCTCTATTATAACCTTTCTACCTGGGAAGGAGATCAATTCCTTCTGCTATGGGATGCTGAGGTCTGGATGAGACTCTTCCATGCAAAATAGCCAGGGCTCTGAGAAGAAGAGCCCATGAACAAGGCCTGCTATGAACTCAGAACCATGATCATCAAGACTCACTGATGCCCTAAATAAAGGAGCAGTTACTCTGATAGAGCTGTACTGGCTAGAGGTTTTGTGTATAAACCCCAAAGTGGAGTAAATGGAGGAGAAGCATTTAAGAACACTGGATATATTCATAAACCACACCCTGGAAAGGATGACAAAAGAGATTTGAGAAACGAACCCCATTTAAGACAACGTAAACCATCTGGTACCAAAACAAAAACAAAAAACAAGGGTGGTATTTACAGAATCCAATTATCTCCTCCCTGTGTCTTCAATAACAACTTTGGGTAGAGAGATAGCTAAATCGGTTTTTAAAAAAAGCTCATACCCATGAAAATGTGAAGACATGAATTGAATCCCTAGCATCCATTTTAAAAACCCGCTATGTAGATCCCTAGAACTCATTCTAGGGACCAGCCATTCCACTGTAATCAGCAAGCCTCAAATCGCAGCAAGAGTTATTCTCTCAAGCAAAACTAACCAACAAACAAAACGTGGCTGACTCTTCCAAAAAAAAAAAAAAATGACACCCAAGGCTGACCTCTTGTCTCTGTGTGCAGGGGTACACACACATACAGACTGATTTGAGTAACAGAAGCAAGAAACTGAAGGGGATAGACAATTGGCCTGGTTAATCCATCAGCCTAAGAAATTCAAGTCTGGGGACAATGTCCATGTCCCAGTAGAGAGACATACACAAGTCCCCATGACCCACAGAAGTCATAGCTAAGAAAGAGTCATCCTTCTTTCTAAAGATTTCCCTGTCATCCCAGGAGCAACAAGGATGATTGATTTCCTCTGGAAATAAGGAAAAGATTATTCAGGGCATTAACAGAACTACAACTGCTTTAATGAGCAGCGTCTCTTAAGAGATTATAAAACAAGTGGTTCCTCTGTTTAGCAATGCCCTTGTTGTGAAGCTTCCTGCCTGAGTTTCAGAACACGATCGACACAGTGTGGCTTTCAGACAGAAACACTTGGTGAAAAAGAAGCATTCCAAAACCCACATAGGAACTGAATGAATGAGGCATATCTGAAATGAAAAAATCCATTTGTTTAATCAAAAAGCCTCAAAGCTTTGAAATCAATAGCACGGAAGTTACCATATCTGGCATAGACAGTGGGTGCTGGAAATGTTACTTATCTACCGCAGGTGAGTTGCCTTTCTTCCATAGCAAGGTGTCATCAGGAGAAAAGTGGGTTTGGAAATGTGGGTTTGAGAAGTATGTGGATTTTTTTTTCTCTCTCTTGGTTATGGCTAGAGGAATATGAGGAGTCATTTGAGATTACTGTCCCTCTTCTACTAGATATGCAGTTTAGGCGGGTTCAGGACCCTTCCCTCCTCCCAGAGCTCCTTAGACCATCGAGCCTATCACTCAGTCTCACAGCTTCATCCCAAGAACTCTGACACAAATGGACAGAACAATAAAGGTGAAAAATGTCAGCATTCTTCACCCATGAGGGGTGACATCACTCCACAATGGGTGAACCCCAGAAACAGAGCAGAGATTTGGATCTGGATACATAGCTATGCTGGCATACAGTGTGACTCTGCAGCACCCACCATCAGAGACAGCATTGTCCAGGTTTGCCTAGCGGATGAGATGCTAAAGGAAGATGAGTTGTTCTGTGCTTGGAGAGAGCGCTTGTGGTAGGGAAAGCTGGAAATGGTACACAGCCAAACATGCTTCCTCCCAGAGGTGACAAGCAACTGTGAGAATCAGTCACTTGTGGGTTTGTTGTTGTTGTTTTTTCCGTTGAGTCAGTTCCCATGGACTCCAGTTTAAACCCTGGTTAAAATCCAGGTTTTGGGAGGCTCCTCTAAGTCTATCAAGCATCAGGACTGTTGTATCTGTTGTTGTCAAAATTAACACAGATGAAGAAATGGGTGTCTGGTCTCCAGTCACCAAAGAGCTCGATAAAGTGACCTAAAGCAGGGAATAGTCCTATGGACAATAAGCCTAGCACAGCTATAGGTAAGAGGGAAAACAAACTGAACAGACGCTGCCTGTATAGCCCACTCTTCTTAGCCTCATGAGCCAAGTTTCCAGGGAAGATGATCCATCTCCCATCGTTCAAACCAGGCCTACCTTGGTGCAGTAACAGGTATAACTATTGATTGACCATACCCTCTGGAGATCACTGGGGAGAAAGCATCTTGTGTGGTTGGGTAGAAGCAAAACTCACTGAAGCCTGGATTAGACAATGCAAGAATTCAAGTAAAACAAGAAGATAATTCAAAGGGAGAAAACACAGGCCCACTCATTCATTGACAGTGCTTTAAAGTGATTATTCTGGGATGCAGATTTGATGACGTCAGAGCCTCTTAACACCACTTGCCCGTTCCTCAGTCTCATGGATCCTGCCTCGGCTCAGACTTTATGAGCAAGTACCAAATTACTGCAGAAGATTCCAAATGCCCATTGTACCTTACACCCCCCACCCTATTGCTTTCAGAAGAGTCTTTATAAATCTTAAAATGTCACTGTGTCCCCCCACATTTAGAAATACTCCATAGCTCCTGTCACACTGGAGGCAGAGTCTCAGCACTCTGCAGGCTTTAGAACACCACCCATTTATTCATTCATTAAAAAAAAAATATTTACTGACTGTCTCACCTCTGCCAGACTACTATTAAAAGTTCCAAGGAGATGACAGTGAACCACAAAACAAAAATCTGTAACTTTAGGAAGTCACTTTTTAGGGGCAAAATCATTACCTTGACGCTTCAGCCTCATGGATATCCTACAGTCACCAATATTGCAACTGGCTTCTATCAACTCTTGGAGACCAGCTACTCACATGTCTTTCTAATTCTGTATCCAAAACCATGGCTTTGGAAGCTTGGGATTAATCATGGTGGGGGGTTGTTGAATATTGGCAAGCATGCCCTCCTTACATCCAACAAGAAACAACTGCTCAATCCTCAAAATTTCCCAAAAGAATATATGCCTCTCTGTATCTTAGCACACACTCTCTGTGTTAGAATCTCTTCCTCTCCTTGTTGGCATGCTAAACATGTGTTTTCAAACCTTAGCTTTGAAAACACTGTGCGTGTGAAGCAGCTTTGACCCTAAGAGGTAGAGCTGACTGACCTCCTGCAGCCTGCAAAGACCTAGAACATCTTTGGCACATAGCTTCTCATGAGCTCACCTTCTGCTATATTGTATATTTCTCAAGACACCTTATCACAAATTTGACCACCCAGCTTTTGGACCACTTTAAAATAAATTCTTATTGAATAAATTTGGAGCTAAGAGAAAAATTATTTTATTTTTTTATTTTTCTTTTTAGTTAACTCTGTGTCCCAGCTGTATCCCGCTCCCTCATTCCCTCCCCCTCCCCAACTCCGTCCCTGGTCTCCTCCCTGCCCCTTTCCAAGTCCACTGATAGGGGAGGACCTCCTCCCCTTTCATTTGACCCTGTTTTATCAGGTATCTTCAAGGCTGGCTGCAAAGTCCTCCTCTGTGGCCTAACAGGACTGCTCCTCCCCTGGTGGGGGGGAGGTCAAAGAGCCTGCCCTTGAGATCCTGTTATAAATAGTCCTTGTTCCCCTTACTTTGGAAAACTACTTGGTTACTGAGCTACCACGGGCCACATCCGAGCAGAAGTTCTGTTATATCCATAGATGGTCCTTGGTTGAGTGTCAGTCTCAGAAAAGACCCTGTGCCTGGATATATTTGGTACTTGTAGAGCTCCTATCCTTCCCATATCATACTAACTCCCCTTCTTTCCTATGATTCCCTGCACTCTGCCAAGGTTTGGTTATGAGTCTTAGTGTCTGCTTTGAAACACTGTTAGGTAGAGTCTTTCAGAAGACCTTTTGCGGTAGACTCCTAGGGTCATACATTCAATGCACATCCCATTTGTCTTTCTAAATGAGGATTGATCATCTTCACCCACGTCCACTTTCTTGATTATCTTCTTTAGGTGTGTAGATTTCATTATGTTTATCATATCTTGTAGGTCTATATAAGCGAGTATATACCAAGTTTGTCT